ACAACCAAAGCTGGGAGCATTCTCCAAATCAGTGCAGGTGGTTTGGAGACAGTTTCTTGCATCATTGAGTATCCCAGTGAGTATCCTTCAGTACACAGAGATGGCAAGACCATTGCTTCTCCTAGCCCACAGCTCCCCAGTGTCACTGGCATCACGTCTTCCTTCCCACTTCCCATGTGTGTCCTCCTCCCTCTGCTCAGCACTTGGAACCTGAGCTCCCAGCTGAACTACTCTCAGCCACCATGGAAGAAGTCAACGCAGCCTATATGTGTGTGATTATCATCATTACTACAGCAATAATGTCTGAGGGAAGGAGGTACTGAAATGAAAACCTGGCTTAGGAACACATTGCGCTAATTATGATGGTCCTTAATGCTTCCAAAATGTAAATACTGATTTCTAGAGCCTTAAAACCACCAACGTTTTATGAGATAATGATTCAGCAAGGAAATACTTTCATCTAAGTGCTTGCATGGCAAGATTGGAGTCTGGGAGATGAAATGTTCTGCTGTAAGGGCCAGGTGATGAATTAGCTGCGGAGACAGCTCCGTGTAATGACTTTGAGGCAAACAAACAGGAGCTGCTGCTTTCTGGGAGGTGGTTTCAAAGGTTCCTCGCGTGTTTGTACATCTGAGGCTGGAGGACAGAGGGTGGGGGCAGCCTTTAATCCGAGATGGAGACAGAGCCACGAGGTGCCTGCCTGCGAGGGCAGTGGGATCTGCTGCTGTGAGACAGCCACCACGTCCCAGGGGACAGGAGGAGAGGATCCATGGAGAGCGTTTGGTGTCACTACAGCTGTGTCTCTCCTGACACGTCAGAGTGCATAGCAGATACTCCCTGCTCCCGAGTGACAGCTCCCTGACAGCTGAGCATCGCCCACGGCACCAGAAGCAGCACAGGGGAGGCATGAGGGCAGCTCCCACTCCAAAGCACTGACACTTTATTAAGCCCAGGTATTTCAGCCTGCACTTGCTAGGGGGTTTATGAGTGCCATTACTACCAACATTTCTTTCTGTTCTAAAGAAAATGAGCTCCTGACACTGAAGAGCAAATATATGCCGGGGCAATTAGCAAACACACCGGACAACCTCAGTTCCTGTCAAGACACTTCCACCTAGCCCTCCCAGGAGAGCTATTACCTCCTGTCCCAGGAAAGCCTATTCCTGTCTCTGAGCATGGTGTCCTTGCCCCTGGGTCCACAGCCAGTGGCTCTTTGCTGCCTTGACAGAGAAGTCAGGGCCCTGTGTTAGACATTTGGAAGGACCTCTGGAAGCCTGAATATTCTGTCAGCATTACAGTTGTATCAGCACCTTCCAAAAGTGGAGTGACAAAGCAGTGAGCAGCTCAGGGGCTGGACTGATACCACCCCGTGTTTCTTCCCTGATCCCCACAAACTCTGGTCATATCCCAGACAGAGCAGAGTTGTAGCCAGGGCTGCACTGGGGAGGCATGTGCCCACACTGCATCAGATGAGAGTTGTTAGGTCAGGATAAACCATTCTGACATCAGAACACACTGTTTTGGAAGCACAGGGAGGCACCTGTACCTGTTCACGTGGGACAGCTGGAGCAGTCAGGGCAGGTGAGGATACCTGTGCAGATGTTAACTAACAGCTGCACTTGTGGCCATTCCCAATATGCCAGTTTTCTCTCTCAGGTATTTCAGCTACAGGAGCTCGTTATGTAGCTGTGCCAGTCCTTCCTTGGCTGCTCTCTACCTTTTTCAGTTCTCAGTTGATGTAACTTTTCCTAAGATTAATGCTTCAGTGTTCTCGACTCAGGCTGCATCCTTCCATTTAACATGGGAAGAGGGAACATTACATCCCAGACTAAAAACCCGGAGATCCAGCTCCTGACATGGGCCAGCTCTTGCAGGGATATCCATAGGCCCCATCACTGAAGCCCTTGCAAGCAGAAGGACATCCCCAGAGCAGGCAGCAGCAGCGTTTCAGCTCCAGCAGCTCCATTCTGGCACCTCTGACTTGCTATAGCCGAGCTCCACCTGCACTACACCTCCCTATGTGCTTTCTGCTGCATCTTGGGGCAACCCCGTGGGACATCGGTACCTCAAAACCTCATGGACGGACTGGGAGGAAGGTAAGGGCCATCAGAGCCTGATGGGCGAGGGTGGACACGTCTCCATGCCCTTGATCAGCACTGGGATATTCCAGGAGCTTAGGAAACACCTGCCTGCTGGCTGAGACAGACTGATGGGAACTATGGGGTGAGGACAGCATTTCCATTTCTGAGGGGAAGAGGCAACAAAGGAAGGAAAGGAGTGACTCCGGGAGACACAAAGAAATTCAGCATGTGTACTATCTGATGTCCATTGAGGAAGAGGGCACCTGATTAGAGAAAGCTGAACACAGCAGGAACAGAGCAGGAGTCACTCCCAGGACAAGCAGCGACAAAACTCACTGCTGAGATTTCTGGCATGTGTGTCTCCTTTTTCTGCTTTCAGGACCAACGTCTGCTGTGGGAGACCCCTAAAGCCTGACACAAGAGCAGGGTGGCTCCCACCCTGCTCCCGCAGCTCAGGACTTTGGTGGCAGGTGAACCAATGCCTCAGAAGCCAGAAAAGGAAAAGCAGAAGCACAGTCAAGTTTGCTCTGGCACATAGGAGCTGCAGAACCAGCTACACACTGCCAGACTTCTCTCAGCTCACCAGCCTCATTGCACAGATGTGTCCAGGAACCACCACAGCTCAGCTCAGCTCTGGGGACCAGCTCTTCCCATGCTCTGGCTGTTCGCTACCACTTTGTCCAAGGCTCGGGGAACTGTGAATCTGGGCTGTGCAGCTGCTGCAGAAGACCTGAGCTGTCTCAAGTCCTTGGCAGGGCCATCTGACCTCTGGCATTTTCCAGCAACCTTTCTCTGCTGAGGAAGATCAGTTCCAGCCTGCCAGCAACTGAAGGGCTCCATAGAGAGCACCTGGTCCAGCCTGGCAGACGGGTTCCAACAGACATAGTTTGGCATCAGCTGGTGGATCAAAAAGCCAGATGGGATGGGGGCAGTGGTACCACAAACTTACCCATCACAACCCTAAAACAGCCACTGTGGAGTGTAAATGGGCTGGGCATTAACCAAAGTCACAGTGTTATAACCAGCCAAGTCACAGCTTCTGGGCCAAACTGTGGAGGCCCCGTGGCCTTGTGGCACAGAGAAACAAACACCCATAAAACATCTTGTATCTACAAGAGCTCCTGCACCACCACCCCCCACTCTGACCCAGCAGCTCCACACCTTCAGCAAGATGGGAAGACTATGTTCTCCTATTCAAGGTACAGAAACATTCCTTATTTCTCAGAGGAGATGAGTTATAAATCCAGCACCACAAATTGTTGCTACCAACCGCCAAAACCACAGGAAACGACAGGAAATCTGAACAGTGAGAGCTCTGTACAGATTTCCTCCAAATCTTCTACTTCAAGGCTCCCCAAAGCTTCAGCTGGAACTGAGACATGGGAGATGCTTCCATCTGTTCTAAACCTGCTTGTCAAAACAGACTCCTCACAAACACAGCACTACACTCAGGAGCACCGAAATCTTGGACAGCTGTTGGGAAAGGTCACAACACAGCCACGAGTTCTTTGCCAAATGTGTGTTCATGTTGTTGTGGCAGTCCACAATGATTCCATAACCTCCTGTGATACTCCTCTGAGCTCGCAGAAAGCCATGCAGCATTAAACAGATATTGTGCATTTCCAGAAGTCTTTGTCTGCCTGAGGTCTTGGAAAGCTGAGAAGCCACACTGACTTGGGGTGAACAGGCAGAGGAGCTCCCTCAAGTCAGCCTTTCAGTATGGACCTAGAAACCAGCACCTAGTTTTAAAAACTCTTGGTGGCATAAAGAGGAATCAGCAGATAACTGAAGAACATACACACACCCCATACTTGTTCTCCCACCACAGACAGGGAGCAGGCAGATCTGTACAGCGTTCCCTGACACAGCCTGTTATGCCTGGACCTGCTCCCTCTGAGCCAAGCCTAGCTCAGATCAAGGATGCTGCCACGCTACTTGCACCTGTGGGATGTAGCTCTGCAGGAATGCTTGGGAAAGCAGCAAAGAGTGAGCAAGAGCAGAACGACAGTGAGCTTTGGAGGAGAAATATCCTCAACCCAATTCCTTCTGAATTTTTCAAAGCCATGCTTCCCCTGACAATCCTGCCCATCAGAGCACTGTCCCACAACTTTGAATCCACCTATGCTTTTTGGGTTTTTTTTCAGAAGGATGATAACCTGAAGACCTTCACTTCCCCAAGCAAAGCAGAAACAACACAAGGTTCCACAGGCGACGTGCTCAGCAGCACAACACATAATTCAGTGCCAGGGCAGAACCAGAACTCTCAGCAGGGCTTTTAACAGAGTTTGCCATTATCCAAATGATGATGGGAACAAACTTGTCCTTCCAGCAAGCACAACCTTCTTACCTGGAAGGTGCCATGCTGTGGTGAGGTTCTGTTACCGAATCCACACACCAAGTAACCAACTACTTGTGTTGGCGGAGTGGTTTGCAGTAACTTTCTCATGTCCATAGCTTTAAAAACCCCTTGCCCTCCTCTCCCCCTGCAGCTCACGGTGCTGTACCGAGCACAGCAGGTGCAGACAACAGGAACAGCATACACACACAGCTTTGGGAGCTGAGACCAGCCCGCTGTGACACACAACGAAACCCTTCCATCCTCCAAAGCAGCTCAGCTGAGCAAACCAGGAGCAGAGGGAGCCAGAGGTGGGAAAGGTCACCTGTGCACCCCCCTTTCCCAGCCCCGTCCCCCGGGCTAAGTCAAGCTGTCACGGCTCCTTCTGACCTGATGGAAGGATTTGCATATGCCCCGAAGCCAGCATGACTGACAGCCCTTCCACTGTTATCCTCACTTGTGTAATTGCAGCAGCTATTCTTGTACACTGAAATGTCTAATCTTAGCAAGCCATGGAGCTGCTGGGTAATATGGACCAGCCGGGAATTTCCATGCAATTACTCACTACTGCTACTGGCACTTACTTTGGCTGGTAAAAGTCCTTCTTGTCCGCCGACCCCAGGCTCTGCAAGACACAAAAGACAGATGTATTTATTTTTTTAACCCTTTGCCAAGCAAGTATCACTGATGATGATGTGTGGGGAAGCACTGAAAGGCACATGTCTGTTATTTTCCGGCCCGATGGATCTTAGTGTGCTGGCTGGACAGGACAGCAATAGGCAGAGCCCACAGCAGCCAAAGATGTAAAAATAGAGAGTTAAACTAGAGGTGAGAGGATGCATTACATCTGAACTCCATATACTCAGGCATGTGTCTCCTGCAGAAGTGTGGCACCGTGTGTCAGGGGGGAACTCGAGTCCTTTCAAGTCTGCCCAGCTGGAAAGAGGACAAAGTGCACAGTTTGGTGGAGGGGCTGAGCCACCACCACTGCAAAGACCCTCTGGCAGGTCAGGGGCTGAGCCCCAGGCACACAGTTCCTGCCAGGAGCAGGACAATAAAATTCTTCTGCCCCAAGCACATACAAAACTGGGAAGCAGAGACAGTCCCCATGCTCGCTCAGGTCCCCATCCCTCCAACTCCTCCCCCAGCATGATGGAGTAGAAGTTTGAGAGCACCAGAGATGGGCTGTGCCACGGTCTCCTGTGAGACCCCAGTGAGGCCAAGCACGCCAAGGGGTCCCTGGGGGCGATGGGCACTGAACACACCCCACCTGGGGTGTGTGGCCAGGTGTGTGCATGACACACGCGAGAGCATGTGCTCAGCTCCTCACGCCATAAGGACAGGGCTGTGTGTGCCCTACACACATCCCAGTCTCTTCCCCAACACACCTTGTCCCAGAGGCACCCACAGCAGGGATGGCTCCAGCCCTGCTCCGAGCTCCAGTGCATGACACAAGCTCCCTGAGCACACAATGGTACCTGCACCAAGGGACGTGCAGGGCAGGCTGTGCCAGCACTGTGGGATGTTCATGGCAGGTGGCACCAGGACAGACAGACATAGACGCACCAGACCTGGGTGTCACCACAGCTGTTGCACCGCCACACCCCTCTTCTCCTCCTCCTCCTCCTCCTCCTCCTCCTCGGGATGATCCTTGTCGTGCACCCTGTGGGGTGGGGGGCAGTGAGCAGCAGTGGGGGTGGTCCCGCCGCCCTGTCCCCTGTGCCGGTGTGCACAGCCTGGCGGGCACCGCTCGTGCTCGGGGCTCCGGGGTTGCTGTTGTAGTTTTGCTCTGCGGTTGCCAGGCAATGGCGAGCTCCAACTCGAAACAGCGGGAGCAGAGGGGCCGAATGCTAATCAGGCCCGCAAGAGCGATCCCAAAGCTTCCCCTTGCCAGCCAAAGCGAGCTCCCACCAAAGCCAGCAAGGAGAGGAGGACCCCAGCCTTTAAGCAGGCAGGGATCAACTGTCACCAAAACATAACCAAATGGGTACTCTGGCCAAACCAGCAAGATGGGGATGTGGTTCTGTGATGGGTAACCCTCTCCATGGCACGGAGATGTGGGCTCATCAGCAGCAGAGTGGGGAGGCTGCAGGCACCCAGGGCACAGGGTACCTCAGTCTGCATATGTGACATCCTCATGCTCAGCCCAGGACACACCGAGGTCTGGGGGTAGAACTGGGAGCACACGAGGAGCAGCTTCCCTTTGGGGTGGGAAGCTCATTGGGAATGGCTGGAGCTGTGCCAGGGAAGGTTTAGGTTGGATCTCAGGGAAAGGTTCTTCCCCAGAGGGTGCTGGGCACTGCCCAGGCTCCCCAGGGAATGGGCACGGTCCCGAGGCTGCCAGAGCTCCAGGAGTGTTTGGACAGCACTGCCAGGGATGCCCAGGGTGGGATTGTTGGGGTGTCTGTGCAGGAATAGGGGTTGGCCTGGATGATCCCTGTGGGACCCTTCCCACTCAGGAGATTTTGTGATTCTGTGGTTCTAAGATGTCACCTGCCCTGGTGCCAACTGTCAACATGCAAGAGCTTTGAGCAGCCCATGGCTGTCCCTGCTGCTCCTCTGACCCCACAGCAGCAAGAAGCAGCAGCAAAGCCCCACGAATCAATGACCAGATACCAAATTGGGCTGATCCAACACTGGTACGACCTGCCCGGATAGGTGGTGGAGTCTCCATCCTTGGAGATATCCAAGACCCACTGGACATGGTCCTGGGTGTCCAGGATAATCCAGGACAGGTGATCCTGCATTGATTCGGCTGAGAGATTTCCAGGAGATCCCCAGATCTCCCAAAATACTCCATGCATTCCTGAGGTAGCAGAAAAATGAGCACAGCAGTAACTGCTCAGGGTGAGTGATGGAACCTGAGTGATGGGAGCTGTGCTGCAAGCCCACAGCACACTCAGGAACAGCCCCAGTCCTTCAGCACAGCATTCCCAGGTGGTATTTCCTTACTTCCTTAAACTTGCACCCAAAACCCAAAGTGGTACTTCCCGAACTATGGATTGGTTTCAACAAAGTTCATGAGCCACGACAAGTTCAGCTCCTTGTGCTCTCTGTGCTAGTGGGAATCATGAAGAACTGCTGATATTTAAGGAGAAATCACTCACAAACAGCATTCTCAATGCTATTGAAACAACCTGCACCTCATAGCCAAACCCTCCACCTAGCCACACCTGAGGTCCATGGGAAAAGCTCCCATCAATGCCACAGCCAGTGAAAAACAAAGATTTTAGATAACTGGGATAAAAAAATGAGGAACTAACTTTGCAGAGAGATAAAAAAAACTCCAACAATGAACTGGGCAGTGATTACAGCAATGATGAGCCAAAATTACTAGTTTTAAAGTTAATGAAGAAAATAGCAAATAAGGAGGAAAAGCAGAATTTCAGCAACAAGTCCAAGGAATTGGGCCTGGGACAAGACCAGGAGCTTTGAATCAGCTGGTGGCTCCACCGCCAGCCCAAAGTCTGACCTTGAGCCATTTCTTCCCAATTTGTGCCTCAGTTTCCCCATATTGCCCATGCTCAGACCTTTGCCTCCTTACTCTCTTTCCATAAGAGATTAGGATCATGCCCAGCAGGCAAATGCATAGGTCAAAAAGTGGCCAAGGGAAGGGTAGGATGTAAGGAAGCAGGGTCAGGCAAAGGGAACACACATCCTGGATCTTAGGAAAAATGTTCTGTCACTGGACTTGAACAATTTCAACACCGCCAAGTGGGAGGGATAGAGCAGGTTTTTTAGCACTCACTAAACAAACCAGTGTAGTGGGGACAGGTCGTGACCTTACTGGGAGCTGGGACTGGCTTTTCTTTTCCTGCATTGTGCCTGAAGTCTGGGAACTGAAAGAAGCAGAGGAGCAAAAAGTGGTCTGCTGGTTTCCTGTGCCTTCTGGGAGGAAAGATCAATTCCTCCTGGACTGAGAGGGGATCTGCAGGCTTCTATCAATGCAAATAAACAATAAAAGCTCAAATGCCGTGTGTGTGCATGCTCTGCTCCTGGATGGTCTCCAGGCTTCTGGAGGAAGGACTGCTCGTGGCTCCTGTGCATCAAGGCACAGCTGGGGATGGCAGAGGGTGCAACTACAGTGTGGCTCAGCTCCCAAATCAATCCTGCTGCTGCTCAGGGTGCTGGGAGCCCCCAGCCATCCTGAGACAGAGAGAGAGGAGCATCACCCAGCTGTGAGTCCCTGTGAGCCCCACGCCGCAGTGTGAGTCACCCTCCGGCAGGACCCACTGCTGCTCCTCACTTGCTCACTTCACTGATGACTCAGGGCTGAGGAAGCACAGTTTAAGGCCCTTAATGACATAATTTTTATTAGCTTGTCTTTCTAAAACAAACACCTCAAGCGAGGCTTGCACCCATCTCCACCCTTTCCTCCTGAGACACCGAGGCAAAGGAACTGTGGGCGTGGGCAGCACAGAGGCACCTGTGGGAGCAGCCCCTGCTGCCCTGGCATGTGGCACTGGGCAGGGCAGCCACCAAAACCTCCCAGGATATGTGCTCCATCCCTTCAGTGCCCCAGCAGGGCCAGGAGAGGAAGGCGGGACACAAGGGTGCTGTCCCAGGTGATGAATGCCCCCTCCCTGGAAGTCTCCAAGGTCAGGTTGGACAGGGCTTGGAGAAACCAGGGATAGTGATAGGTGCTCATGGCAAGGGGTAGGGCAGGATGAGGTTTAAAGTCCTTTCCAACCCAAACCACTCCTTGATTCTATGAATCTGGGCCAACAGGGATGCTTGAATTTGTTTGTTTAATTTCACTTTTCAGGCACTAACTAAATAATTTTGTGAGCTACACAATGTAGGTAAGATAGCAGCCCAGATTCCCTAGGCCAGCTCATCTCCAGAGCCAGCCCTGCTGGTCCCTAGTCAGAATTAGCACAACATGCTGCAGACAGAAATGATGAGTGATTTAAAGTAGTGTGCTGAATTCCAAAATTCAACCATGCTGGGGAGATAACAGATCTGGGTTTGGAAACAAGGATGTTCACGGAGGGGCTAGGACAGAGGTATTGTTTTATTTATTTCTAACCCCCAGCAGACATCAATCCTGTTGTACTTTTTCCTCTTGTAAATGTTGCCAAGCATAATCTTGGCTCATCTTTTTTCTAGGCAGTGTCCCTGGGAGAACAAAGTTATTAGCAAGGCTGAAGAAGCCTCATGCAATTATTTAGCAACTACACCAAAATAAACCCCAAAGACTGGTGGCTGCTCACAGGTGGCAGCTTTCTAAGTCATTCCAATAAAATCTGGCTTGGTAACTCCCAGCGTAATCAATGCCCATACAAACAAACCAGAGGAAAACTGAGGGATGAGTGATTTTTCCATGCTAGAACAGGATTCTGCAAAACAAACTCATGAGCCATCGCTGGCTACAGGCTGTGCTGCCACACTGCCATTGTCACCTGCTCACCTGCCGGGACTTCAGTGTCCCTGAGCTGCACTTGGAGCTGGGCTGGACAGATTGCAGGAGATTTGGGCACGAGCAGGAGGTGCTTGGCCCCCAGGGCAGGGCAGGTTTTGGGCACCAGGGCTGCACAGCCTGTCACCCCCCATCCTGGCTGTCCCTCTGGATCCTGTGGTTCTGCTCCAGGCACAGCCATTCCTCAGACTCCGTGTATCTGCAAC